CGCTCCTACAATGTCTAGCTGCATGACCTACTTTCATCTTTGCTTCAGCTGACAAATGGATAACCCGACATTCTCCAGAACTTGCTGATACAATGCCAAATTTATGATTCTATAAAATATGCCAAGCCATCTGGTTCTTGAGGCAGCGAATGGCCCCAAAGCATGATATTCCTACCACTGTGCTTGACAGTTGGGATGAGGTTCTCCTGTTGGAAGGCAGTGTTATCTTTTGCTGCAAAAAAAACATTTTTTATTTAATTTGACGGTCTAGAGAACATTCTTTCATTAGTCTTGTGAGTCTTCCGGATGCTCGTTGGTAAACCTGACATGGGCAGCAGTGATTTTTAGAAAGCAATGGTTTCATCCCGGATATCCTCTTATGAAAACCATTCCTGTTTAGTCTTTTCCTGATTATTGAAGAATGAACACTGCTGTAAGAGAGGCCTGCTGATCCTTAGTTCCTAAATCCTGAAGTTATGAAAAATCAACTAGGAAGTCATAAGGGTCTTGGGGCGATCTTGGTAGTAATCCTTGGTCCCTGGTAAAAAACTGAATATTTTCCATTTGTAGACTCTCTGACAATAGATGGAACCCTCTACCACACTGATGATCTTGAACTACTCTTTTTCTGAGGCCCCCTGAAATCTTTTGACTGTGACTTGATGTTGCCATAAATCTGAATAATGAAGGCCAAGTTCACAGTTTCTCACCACCATATAAAACATAGCTGTCCAAACTCAGTCCTTGTTCACTTGTTACTTCATTATTTATCTACCTAATTCTAATTATCCCCGTAATTGTATTCAGTAAACTAGGGACTAACTTATTTTATATATACCGGTTCTTTATTTTTTTCAATTTTTGTACTTCATATTCCATTGTGGTTTGATTATAAGGGTAAGAACATATAATACCCATAATTACATTGGGTTCAAACTTTTATTGTTGGCATTGTATATATTTTCAAAATTCTTTTAAAAATGTTGTTTTATCTGCCGCTTAAAAACATTTGATGTTTGTTTTTCTCCTAGTGTTTGATGACGATACAGGGGCACCACAGACCACTAATTTGTACATAGGATGCATTAACCCAAAGGTAACATCAGAAGTTCATTATTCTTAAAAAACTTCGTCTACATCTGCATTCACATTTTCTACTGGGACACTGTTCAGTATAAGTATTTGCCATCAGATGCTGATGGGGCTGTAAGTGGAATATCTTGTGGACAAAATATTAAAAACAAACAAACGTCTAATAATCCTCAGGTATTATTTTGTCAGCCTTTACATATGCATTTTTGGGCTATTGTTAGGACAGAATCTTGTTAGCAGTGAACTATACTGTGTATTTAGAGAGGACAATAAATCATGTTTCCAAGATTGCTGGCTTGTCATGGAACTTAATATAGCAACTGTACAATATGTCTGCGGCTAATGATGCGTGGAGCTGTCATGTGCCTTTTCCAAGGCAAAAGTTAACTTCCACTGCATACATCAAGGACAGATAATGTACTTGAAATAGATCAGACTGTCCTATAATGATAGGAGCTTTGTGTGACTCAGTTATAATTTTTAATTTACCTGCATTCTAAAGAAACAACACTTAAGATACAAAAAGAAAAACATGGTAAATTCTTTCTGGTCAGTTTTTCAAAGTTGTGTAATTGAACAGTTTGTTATTAACTCAAGTTTGTAAAGTCAGTGCACCACTGAGTTCCACTTTAGTGCTCAGGGAAAAGGAGTGATTCATAACGGCCCTTTATGTTTTTATGTGTTGTGTTTTTTAACTGCTCTTAACTGGTAACAATATTAGATTATTTTTTTCTCCAGATGAATGAAGAGATGCTTTGCAAGGAATTTGGCAAGTACGGTCCTTTAGCCAGCGTAAAGATAATGTGGCCACGAACTGACGAGGAAAGAACAAGGGTTACTAACCGGGGATTTGTAGCTTTCATGAACCGCAAAGATGCAGAAAGAGCATTACAGGCACTTGATGGTAAGTAACTAATTGGTTTCATTGCAAAGGTAGCTGTTTTTAGGATTATTTGTTTATCACAGAACATAGAAATCATATAACTACCTGTATTGAGGATTTGGCCGATCAAATAAAGCATTGATTTTTTCATCTAGCGCTTAAGTTAAGAAGAGGGATATTGACAAAATAATACATTTGGTAGTTAGAGCTTAAATATTGTCAGTTCTTTCACTGAAAATAGTAGTCCTGACACTATGCACAAATATTGCATGTTTACTTTTCCATGAGCATGTTGGTGTTGTAAAAATAAAAATTAACTTAAGCGATAAGGATAACAAAAAACTTCAGACATCACACAAACTAATATTCAGGACAGTAGTTCTTGCATGTCACATGTAGCACTCCCTAGAGCAAATGACCCTAATGCACTCAGAAATGGACAAATTATTGTAAGTATAAGACTTCTTTCGTGGAACTAATTATACTCAGGTAAGCTTGTCCTCTAGTCTGATGCAATGGAGGAGGCAAATTTGTATTTAAAAAGGAAGCAAATAGTTGTACAAATATGCAAATACCTCTGTTTTCCCTAAATGTGGTTTTGAGTCTTAATAATGCCAGACATTCTGCTTTTAAAATCGGTGTTTTTGGAGTAATTAAAATAATGACAGGCACAAGAGTGCCAGGGTGAATCATTGCTAATAGAGTAGTGTTAAGTGAGGCATTGGTGTATTAGATCTAGCACACAACACGCCTCCTAATACTGCCTCCAATCGTGGATATCTGTTATATGGAGTCGGACAACAGCTATGTGGGGGGAGTTCTGAAACCCAATGTTAAAAATTAACCGAATAAGCAGAAAAGAACTCCTCTGGCATGGAAACTACCGGGGTTTTTTTAGGAGTGTTTAGGAAAACCTGGATTGGTAGTATAAGATAATCCCTCACCTTCTTTTTTTGCCTATACAGTTTATTTGTATATGTTATTGTCCTGTTTACCTTTGTACTCTTGTTGTCAGTTAAACATTTTTTTTTTACTGACTATCTTCCTTTGTTTTAAAATATAGGTAAAACAGTAATGGGCTTTGAAATGAAGTTGGGTTGGGGAAAAGCGGTGCGTATTCCTCCACAACCGCTGTACACTCCCATCGGCGTGCTTAAAATGACCACACCACCTCCTCCGTCTGGTTTGCCTTTCAATGCCCAGCCACGAGAGAGGTTTAGAAACCAAGACTTCTCAAAGCCCTTTAACAGATCCAAGGAAGAATTTGAAAAGGTAATGTTTCCCGATTATAGCAATGAGGTGTGTGCATGGTTTATTTTGTTTTCAGTTTTAGAGGACAGGATAGTAGTAGTAAGACTTAGATTTACATTGGTCTTGTTATAGTTGTGTGAAGGTAATGTTCAGAAGAGTTTACTGCTAATTTTATTTCAAGTGTACTTCACTTGACAATTATATGTTTAGAACAGGGCATTAAAAAAAAAGTTTTTAAAAAAACGAATGCAGTTCCAATATGTACATTAAGCTGCAGAGTTAGAACAGAATTTATGTAACATTTGATACATATCAGATTGTTTTCAGATTATAACATTTTGTTAATTTACTTTAACTATAAATCTCTGCTGTATATGATGCTGTATATATCCTGCAGTGTTTCATCTGTATATACTCACTTTCTTTATATTTTTACTATTTGATTTGACTTCACGTACAGACTCTGTCCGAAGCCGTAGTCAAAGTGGTTATCCCAACAGAAAGGTACACTTTCAATCCATTCTTACTACTACTGCTACTACGACTGACCAGCAATTCTTACAACACAAAGTTTAGAAGAAAAAAGGCCCTGTATTCAAGTTTACGAATGTAAAAACAGGAAGCACCCCAGTCCTACGAGCAAATCAGCTAAGAGCTGACTGATAAGGAAGGTATTAATTGCTAAACATGAAATACTAAATCCCTGTTTCTTTTTTCCCTTCTTTGAGTTTTTCAAGTTTGCCTGGGTGTTTTTTTGTGCTATTTATTGTGTATGTTAATTGTCAAAAGCCTTATAAAATATGAATAAAAGAACTTGCTCAGAGAATTGGGGACTTCTACTATTAAGATCTGTTAAGAATAGTTTGTTTTTATTAAATGGAGTTGATAGCTATATTACTTGAGTGGGATTTTGATTCTCCGATGGTTGAAAAGATCTGGGAAGATTTAAGATGTCGCTTGGGCCTGCAGAACACCTTACATTGACATAAATTACTATAAAGAAAAACATCCTTCCATTTATTTTGTAACAAATGAGTCTAGGTAAACTCAAATGTAGCAGCAAATTGTAACTGAAGAACAGTTCATGCCTTTTCTTTGGGTTTAGCTATGTACTATAATTTCTACCAACTCGAGGTACAAACAAAACACAACGCAGGCATATTTCAGTCAGGAACATGTTTTCTAGAGTGGTTGCCTTACTTATTTGGAAGTCTTTTTTGTTTAGTTTTTCAATTTTTGTGAGAGGCTGTGACTTGGAAAGGGGTTAAGGGATTTTACAGCTTAGATGAAAGCCTGTAGTAGCTAATAGTAGTAAGTAATGCTATTCATAGTAGTTCTTTACAGCTTTCATTTTTTAGTTTTCTGTGGGATTGAATTTCTGCACTATTTGTGACATGGCCCTCGTTTCCGAAACACTGCATGAACCCTTGCAGCACTTTAAGCTAAGCAAAAGAAAGCCTCTTTAGAGTACTGGTCTCCTTGTTTTCTGCTGTTTTTTAAGTGTCGCAGACACCCAGCATAGCATCAGTGTGATCTCAAGCAGTATGAGAAATAAAAAAAGGTCAAGGCCGTAGGACCTAATGCTTGAGAGGTATTAATATGTCCTGTGTTTCTCCTTGTTTTTTACTAGGAACCTTTTAGGCCTTATCCACAGAATGATAGAATTTGTGGTGCGTGAAGGACCCATGTTTGAAGCCATTATTATGAACAGGGAGAAAAGTAATCCTGAATTCAGGTGAGGATTTAGGCCTAATTTATGAACTTGGTGTTTGTGTTTGTGCAGAATATTTGTCATTCATGGCATGTGTGAACTGTTTCAGATTCCTGTTTGAAAACAAGAGTCAAGAACACGTGTATTACCGGTGGAAACTTTACTCAATTCTCCAGGTAAGATCCCTCTGGATACACTGTTGTAATGAATGTAGTGTATGGTATAATATCAGACTCAGATATTAATAATATATTAAATCAAGTCAGGGAATCAGCCTATTAAAGAACACCCTACACTACTGTTTCTACTAAGAGAATGCCAACCGAGCTGACTAACATTTGGAGTTACATAAATCATCTTTTCAAAATGACAGGGTAATTCCTATTGTTTAAAAACATGAAGACCATAAAACTACAGGTTACCCTGCAACACAGGCAAAGTAGAAAATTAATAGTGGAAAACGGTGTGCTGTTTCTAAATAGGGTGTACCAGGCAAACAAGCAGTTATTGCAACCAGAGTGGAATTAAAGTTCTTTAAGAAGGTCAGCGATTACAAACCAGTCGCTTGGTGTACATGTGCGTATGTTTGTGCATTAAGGCTAAACTTCAGCTTTATCTGTTTTATGTGCTACAGGGAGACCCCCCAAATGAGTGGAGGACGGCGGACTTTCGAATGTTTCGAGGGGGTTCATTGTGGCGACCACCACTGTTAAAACCTTATCTCCATGGAGATGAGGATGAGAGAGAAGAGCCTTCTTCACCTTCTCAGGAGGAGGAGATAAAGAAGGGACAGCTGAAAGCAGAGTAAGACATAGTCATGAAAAGGCAAATCTCTCATAAACTGGAAAGTTATCTCCCAGAGCCCTTTTATAATGTGCTTCGGATACAGTCACTCTGCAGCATGCCTCCCAGTTTCCTAAATTACAGTTGCTGCAGGTGTTCCCCCAAATCTCATCTTTTTCCATTCACCATGTGGTAGGTTATCAGATGTCCAGTAGAATCATAGAAATCTTATTAATGCAGCCAAGAATAATTCTGGTTTATTAAGGATAGAATGAAAGGTTTGCACAGCAAGGTCTGCAAGCTGTTCAACAGTTCTTATGACGTATATCTTAACCACATTATTCACAGCTCCATATATATATATATCCAAGTTGGTCTGTGCCCACATGTTTCTTTTTTTCCAACAGACACAGAGACAGGCTTGAAAATACCTTGAGAGGTCTGGTGGCTCGCAAGGAGGACATTGGCAATGCCATGGTCTTCTGTCTGGAGAGGGCAGAAGCAGCAGAGGAGGTGGTGGGGTGTATCGCAGAGTCCCTGTCCATCTTGCAGACCCCTCTGCAAAAGAAGGTTGACACAGCTTCCAGCATTTCCAGCTTAGATAAATTAATTTGCACTGAAAAAGAAACTTTTGGATTCTTAGCTATTGTTTCATAGGAAAGCTTTTATGAAGGAAAATGCTTAAAGATTACGGTTGACCTAAACTAAAGTTTAATAAAATCTGGTTTGCTTGTGAAACAGTACACCCCTCTTTTCCATACTGGGGCTTGGCTTAACTATGCATTACATTATTACATTTGGCTGTATCTTTTTTTTTAAAGAAGGTACAATTCTTTAAGAAGCACAAAAGGTGGCAGTTTATTTGCTTAACTGTGTGTTCAGGATATGATCAATTTTTAAAGTCAATATAATTGAATTCAAGTTTTTTCACCAAGTTGTTATTCTCTATGTTTTAAATTATTCAAATTTAATATTTTTCTCTTTCTTACAGATTGCGAGATTATATTTGGTTTCAGATATTTTATATAACTCCTGTGCCAAAGTTGCCAATGCATCATACTACAGAAAATAGTAAGTAGTGTTTCTCCTATATTTTTATGGGTATGAAATGTGTGATCTGCCCTGTTAGATATACTTTGAAATCAGAAATGTATATACTTTAAAATTAGACATTTACAGAGTGTATTGGTCAGATCTTAGCCAATTACCAGTTACCATTTTATATTATGGATTATATTGTAGAATTGAGTCTGTCTCATGCAATCTTATATCCTGGTTTTTAGTTCTTTCAGTTCATCCTGATCACTGAACATTCATAAGTATTTCAATAGTTAGGCTATAATAGTGAGGCTCAGCTCAACCCTAAAACTTTCTATTAGTTAAAAATTGTAATTGACTTAACCAATAACTTACACGCCTTTTCTTTTGGGGAACAAGTTAGTTCAGAGGTCACCGCTTTCATTAACTGACTGCAAAAGAAAGCTTTTGGGAAATGGTTCACAACTGGGACTGGAGTGCATTTCAGTTCCTAAATCTACTTCATTACAGATAAAGGTGTGGGTACTGTTGACTTGCAAAGTTATCAATGAGACTTAGTCATTCGTCAGATACTTTGCTCCGCTGTTTGTCTTGTAGCATTGCCATGCAAAGAGAGATGGCTTGATAGACTTTTTCAGGACCCCTATTGCTGAGATCTCAATTAGTGAATAAATATCTGCTCCTCGATTGTCTTCCACTTAAGTTTAAAATATCTGAATCCCTGTTGATGCCTTTTTATGTCATAGGATCACCTTCACTTGAGGTTGTAATGAGGTTAATAGTGTATAATCTGGAAATGCACATGCTACTGGTTCCACCTGTTCTCCCCAATGAGTCTGTTAGACTTTTTTGTTCCAGCTGTACTCTCAAATAAATCGAAATCTAAGTAATTTAAGTCATCTTAATTGCTTTCAGCTTTTAAACTGTTAGAACCTTTAACATTTTATACAGCTTTAAGGAGCATAAGTGCTAGGTAAATATGAGTATAAGAATGTAATAAAGTATGTGGCAGTCTCAAAAATAGAGATTCTCTTCTTAACACAGGCTGGGTTTGGGATGTAAATATTTAAAAATATTGTGACGTGTTTAAGTAGATTTTGCTTTTTGCAGAAGACTAATGTGTTATTCATTCGGGGGATTCTGATATTTTTGATATTGGGGTGTAGAATGAACAATAACCAGATTTTTCTTTTTAGAAAAGGTTCTTTGTATATAATGTATATTTTTAAAATAAACTTCTGCAATAGGTTTCACATTAATTTTTCTTGTGTAAAGCTCAAAAGGGTTTGTCCTTATTTTTAGCTTTGAAGCAAAACTTCCCCAGATATTTGGTGATATTGGTGAAGCGTACAGAAACATACAAGCCAGACTTCAAGCTGAACAGTTCAAGGTGAGATGGTACAACACTGAATAATTTGACTACATATTTGTTTGCATGCCTGGCTGTTGAGTCATAGTTGAAGAGTTCTCTATATGCATGTACGCATATATTTACATTGCATGTTAATTCTCAACTTTTCTTTTCTTCACAGCAAAAGATAATGTCTTGCTTCAGAGCTTGGGAAGACTGGGCCATCTATCCTGAATCATATCTGATTCATTTGCAGAATATTTTCCTTGGCTTGGTGAAGCCAGGAGAAGAAGTGTTGGACAGGTCTGAGGTTCGTGTTTCCTTACAGGATCTTGATTTCCTGAATAATTTAAACTTTAGCCTGTCTTATTTGGAAGGCACACACCACAGTAAAATAATCCAAAAATATAACTTCCAGATTTATGCTTTTCATAAGCTCCCACTTGATAACTGTAGTTTTCAGGAACAAAATAAAAATGTAGGGAAAGTGATGTGTGGTGTATATTGTGTGCTATTTTTTGTGTGATCTAAAAGGTCATCTGAGGAGGGTTATGACAATGGTTAAAACATTTACTTTTATTTAACTTCTTATTTGTTTATGTGCTCCATTTCTTTCCTAAGATAATATGAATTGAGTGGTGATACTTTAACAGCTTTATAGCTGTGTAAATGATTTAAACTCCTCAAACAATTGAACAATTGGGAAAAAGAAAGGAAAACAGTGTGGATATCCCCATGTGGAACCTACCATGTAGGTTCTTCTTAAGCTCACCTATGGCTGAAGTTGTTTTTTATACACAGAATCTGCACATTGTGGATCAGCTTTTGTGCTGCAACTGAAGACAAAAATAACTTGTATATTAAGAGAATAGGTTGTATTGCAAAAGATTGACAAGGGATTCCTCATTGCATTGTAATGTAAAGATATTAGATTGAGAAGTAATTGTACTCTGAGGTCTCCTTAGGGACCTCTAGTATTTTGTGGATTGAGTGTGTTAAGGTGTGTAAAGATATTCCAGTGAGTGTCCTGTACAAAATGACCTAGTCTGTTGTTTGGGCACAGTCCCCAGACCTCGATGGTGCACCTCTTGAAGACGTAGATGGGGTTCCCCTGGAGAATGTGGATGGGTCACCCATGCCCAACCTGCCATGGGACCCGGCTTCACTGGATGGGACTCCAGTTGATGATATTGATGGGGTACCGCTGGCTCCATCAGTAGATGACATCGATGGAATGCCTTGTAGGTTGCATTCTAACAATGATTACTCTTCAAAAAGTTTTAACCCTTCTAGTATCAGGTCTTTCATCAATTAAGGATTTGTGAATGAAAGGGGCAGTGTTCTTCCATTTAAATCTGAAAACTTTCACCATCTGTCACTTGAGTGGTTTTATATTTTATATGATCGATCTCTGTTTCTAACTTGCGTTATTTGTATGTCGGAACGTCATGGGTCTCAGAAAGGACCAGAAGGCCCCACTCTTTGAAGTCAGACTACTGGAACAGGTGTTAAGGACTCCTTTTGCTCATGCTTTCGAGATATTGATTTCGTTCTGGCTTTTGCTTTCTTGTCTTTTTGGAATTCATATTTAAGGGAATAAATTATAAATATTTGTAATGTCATAAATATATTCTTGTTCCATATTCATTTAATGTGACCCAGACAAGCAGTTGAGATCTTGGAAAGACAGAAATGTATTATGAAACATTACATTTAAGTACATTTTGTTTGGCGTAAGGGAAAGTTCCATTTATTTATTTTTTTATTCTCAGTACAAGAATCGTCAGTTTCGGAAAAAGAGAAAAAACTGCCTCATGCCAGACTGACTCTGTCAAAGTGGGAACTTGTTGAAGACACAGAGGTTATCCCTCAGGGTAAAGAGAACACCTCTTTTCATGCTCTGTAAGGTTGTCAGGTGTCATAAAGAACTGATAACCTTATCTAAACACAGCAAATAACCATAAATTGCATGTTTATACCATAGTGCTCTTAATTTCTAGAAAGTGGAAAATATTATGTGATTATTATTGGTAAATCATTTTGCAAACAAATAATAGGCTTTCTATTTTTAAGTGGTAGGCTTCTGTCCATTAAAAAAGGTTAGAACAACAAATCTTTAGTATTTCATAAATATTAACATCGCATTTTATTAGGTAAAAATTCAAAATCACTTGCAGATGAATGTAAGTTTTTCAGGTGGTAGTTTGCTAAATATATATAGTCGGAAGTCTTAGAAATATTTGTAATTGTCGCGCTCTTAATTGAAGCTCCTTTACCAGCTTAAATGTCCCTCTTTCCAACAGTAAACACTGAATCAAAATGGGATAATCTTGAGGATCAAAATTCAGACGAAGATGCGATTGTTGGGTAAGGGCTTTTTATGTGCCTTGTTGAAAATGTCTTTGCAACTTCTGAATATAATTTTACCTTTGCCTTCAGTCAGAAAGTAATGCGCACCTCACATATATGGCAAGAACTTCAGTTTTCTGAGAATAAAGAAATAGATTTCCAGAGGCTATCCATTGAATGAATTTGAGTTTTTAGTAAATGTATTTGAATTGTTGCTTGCTTACAGTTGGTATAGTTCACAACAGTTCTGTTGTTTTCTTACCTTGTCGTAACACTTTCTTAAGTGAAGGTTGTGATGTCTCATGGTTAAATTTTCCCTCTGTGTTTAGCCAGGACACGAAGGAAGCTGCTGAGGATTCGGAGGAAGACAGCAGTGATATGGACTCCTCCAGTCCCTCCAAGTATGATGCAGCTGACTTAAAGACATCCCTGAGCAGTTTTGACATATCGGAGGGAAAGAGAGCTAAACTACGGGAGTTAGAGGCAAGTCACTCGTATCATGGTATTGATATTGGCAACAAAAATGTACATTGTGCCGGCATTATTAGTGTAATCTAATTTGTTAATTGTTTAGATTTCATGGTGGAAGGTACCCAAGAAGATGCAACAGAATTTGAGGCTGTGTAAATGACAAGTAGTGAATTTCTGAAAACATTTTCTTCTCATCCTCTCTTATGCACTATACTCGTGGAAGTAATCTCATGGGGTCACTGTCTGGTGCTGTTTGACTGAACATTTAAAAAAACATGCAGGGTCTATATTCCATATGAAGATTGTGACAAATGCAGTTAAATTATCCTAGGAAAGGTTTATATTTAATCTATTTTTATGTTTCTTTTAAGAAGAATCCTAAGCAGTCCTTATTTATGGGGGAACATCTACATCTATGATGTAGAGGCTGGCTTCTACTTATGTTTAACTACAGGAAGCTACTTGGAGTGTTCCCAGGAAATCTGAATCACTAATGGACAATGAAATTGTGGCTTTTCGTCGGTGTGTGTTAACGTGCGACATAAGTCTTTATACTGAGAGTGTCATTATCAATGAGCAGGTTCTTATTTAAGTGACTCGGTATATGAGATGTGAAAATAGCTTAGAAAGTAAAAGCTTGTTCTTTTGCGTAGTATATTCATAGAAATAAACTAGATTTAGTGTACAATAACTGAGATTTGAGCTTATTTTTTTCATTTTCTTCAGACTTTCAGCAAAGCATATCTGTGCCTGCAATGTATGGAATATTTATTCATATTGAACAATTGCTTTGGCATTTTTATACATGGATCTCTAAACAATTGGTGTCAATGGAAAAAAATACAACTGGAGCAAAAAATGTTCTTAGAGCTATTCAAAGAACTTGGAAAGGATTACCTTTTATGTAGATTTCTTTGGTAATGGATAAAAAACCTGATACAGCAGTCTCGATAGTAGGGTATAGGCTATAGCTTTGTCTAACTGGATTATATTTACATGCTTTAACATCTATGTATATCAGATATGATAATACCATACCTTCTTATTATAAAAGAGTAAAGTTTGATTCACGATGATGGAGTTCTTCATAAGCTATTATATTTCCTGACCCACAACTCTTTTTTTTAGGCTAGGAGAGCTTCAGGCGCTTTGGAACTCTTCTTGAAAAAATATTATTATTAATTGTGATGTTTTCAGTTCTATTTTATAGTTTTGGATTCACAAGATAGAGAACTGCTAAGTGTTTTTTAGGTATATTTAAATATTTTTGCACTATTGTTTTGTTTGCAAGTTGCCTGGTATAAAGATATCTGCCAAGTAAGTTTAGAAAATTACGAAACTTATAAGATACAACTTTATAATCAATCAGGATGAATACCCAAATGAAAATGTATGTTATGTGAGTGGCTTGTTGTGTTTTCTTTGCAGTTAAAAGTCATGAAATTCCAAGATGAACTTGAATCTGGGCACAGGCCTAAGAAGTCAGGCATGACGGTTCAGCAACAAGTGGAGCATTACAGAAATAAACTCATACAGAAGGTATACCATTGTGTAATATGTCTTCCTTGATTTAAGTTTCCACTTTCAACCTTTTTATGGCCCTAAAATAGTAATCAGAGTTGACTTTTTCCCAGACATTTCAGGATCATAAATATATAAATTAACTTCCTTGAAGCCTTTACTGTTCAATACTAAATTTAGGTTACTTCCTTTAACTGGTCTGCTGCATAGCTCAAACATAGTGAAAGGAATGGATGGTTATTATAAAAGTCAAGCAGTTGTCGGAATTGTGAAAATAGGAGAGACTTTGTTGTACAAGATGTTTGAAATGCATTACAAATTTTCATTACTTAAAGGAATGACTGAGTAAGAGAATTCAGGAATTGGGAAATAAGGAAGAGGTTCCAAATATCCTCCTGCGTGTTTCTATTCTTATGCTCGTTGCAATACAGGAAAGTCTGTTGAAACGCTCTCGTGCTTTGGCAAAAGTTCACAACAATGTTCTGGCAAGTGCAGTCTTATTCATTATAATAAGGCTTTGTCCAGCACTTGAAATTCCTGAAGTTTTTTTTTTCTTTTTCATTTGTTTTCTTGGCATCAGTGGGTACAACACTGCCAACACATGGAATGTGCATGTCTTACCAAATTGTTTAGTATTAGAGTTTGCCATTTCAGATGTTTTTGTTCTATGTTATACTGATAGCCAGTGATTTCCCAATCAAGATTTAGTATTAAGAAATGGGAAGGGAAAGGCCAGAGAACAAGCCAAAGAAAGCCATTTGGCCCATTTAGCCTGTTTGGTTGCTAGCAGGTAATTGATCTGAGGATCTAATCCAGCAGTTTCTACTATACTATAATTTTGTATATACTACTGTACACTTATCAAACATAGCTGCTGCAGAATATTTTATAGCAATAGTTGTAATGATAGTGATATTTAAGATGATACAACACTGTACATTTCTAGAAGAACAGTATCAGACCTAAGCGTCCTGTTAGACAGTGTAAAACGAGGCTCAAGCTTGTAAAATGTACTCATCTTCAATTAAAAAATGTAATTTAATGGTAATTACTTTTGCCTGGGTATCTTCTGTCTATTTTTTTTCCAAGAGTTTTAATATTTGAAGCAGGTGGCTGCTTTAATGTGGACACTTTATTCTTTTGTTGTCATTTTTGGAAATGTGTGTAGAAAATCATTATATTTAGAGGAGTGACATGCATTGAGGGCATCTGTTAAATTTGTGCTAATGTCTCTATCAGCGTTACCTAAACAGAGAACTTGTAGGGCACATATTTTGCTATCTGATGACCTTTTATAAAGTTCACACACCTAAAAATAATTATAACTGCACCTTTGAGACACATTTCCAGCAAGTGATAACACACTGCACAGGAACAAGATACTAGTCTTACTTTTGCATCAGTTTGTGCAACAAGTAACACAATAATGCATGTTACTGACTATGCCAAAATATATATATTTTTTCTTATGCATGGAAATAATATAATTAATTTTCCAAGTTATCCACATAGGTTTTCTGTCACTTCTGTGATTACATTTGACTTATTTACAGAAACCTTCAACCCCTTTCCACAATTTATTTTCTTTTTTGCAGTCAGTCACTTTCAGAAATTCTGCCCAAGATGCACTAGAATGCTAACAGAGCAATGTTTGAGTCATCTTAAAGAGTGTGTCTTTTTCAGGAGTGTGAAAAAGATGAGCAGGAAAGAAGAGAAAAAGGTATGCAAAAAACAAAAGAGAGAAACAAGAAAGAGGAAAAGAAGGACAAAGCAGAAGAAAGGACTAAATCGAAGGATAAAGACAAAAAGAGGAGTAAGGAAATGGTTCAAGACCGGGAAAAGAACAGAGGGAGAAGTGAGGATGAGGAGAAAAACAGGGATCGCACCGACAGATACCGAGGAGGCAGCTACTCATCCCCTTCAAAGTAAGAAAATGTGTTCAGTAACATTTTGAGTTGCTTGAAATGACATAAATCTTAGATTGAAAATGTTGTAGCCAACATCAGAACACCACCAATGTCCACTAGATGGCGCATGGAAACTAGCCCTTGTGAATGAAAGAGTATTAACTTTACTTTTGAAACCTCTGTAGTGTTCTGTAGAGAAGAAGAGCTCTGACAAATTGCAGCAATAATTAGATAATCAAAACTGGTTCATTGTATTTCAGTTCCTGGTCCTACTGTTGTCAATGCCACTGTATTATTAGTTAGAAAATTGCATTATTTAAGAAACACTTTGTCAGAATTGCATTATTACTGCTCGCTTCCCCAGTGATTTCAAATGGGGGAACAATTGATTACTTTTTCCATGAAAGTGAAATCTAGCATTAACTATCATGAAGCTATTAACTGCACATTATGTGGAACCTTGGAAAAAATAAAAGTTGTGAGCTGTGATCCTAAGAAACTAGATCAATTCAGACATCCTCTGCTGTTAGGAGTAACTCATTCTTCTTTCTCATTTTCTTCTTTTCCAAGAGCGAAATCGAAGTCCCCTAAGAAATCCAAGAGATCGCGGTCACCGTCACCCAGCCGAAGGTCGTGGAGGTCAAGTTCCAGGTCGCCTCACCGCTCCCACAAAAAGTCCAAGAAGAGTAAACACTGACCCCAGAGGCAGTAAACTGGTGTACATAAACTGCTCCTTCCACTTCTTTTACTGACTGGAACATGACATGGTTTTCTAATGTACATGTACAATCTGTTTCTGTTCTCCAAGACTTTTGTTCCACCTGTGCTTTAACTGATTAAGTAAAGGTTTGGTACATTTTGTAAATGAGTTTTGTAAAGTTTTTGTTTGTATGTTTCCTTTTATGCTTAGTTTGGTTCTTCCCTTTTTTATTCAGCTTCAGTGTTTGTGGTTTTTTTATCCCTTTTCAAATCTTGCTGGCTATTGCAAGAATTCCGATATGTCTGTAAAACTTTACAATAAATGACTCTCGTGATGTCAAATGCCTCGGACAAAGCTCATATGATTTTTTTTTTGCTTCTCTGTGTGTATAGGTCTATCTCATTCAGTCATGAACCTAAATTTAGTGCATTTTCTTAGTGCAGATTTTGATTAGTTTTTTTTACTAGATTTCTCTTTGTTTGCCAAGCACTCAACAGAACAAAATGTTTGGTAGAAAATGTATTATTATTGTTATTATTATTTTGTGAGATTCCAATATCCAAGATGACTGGCAGTCAGTTTTATAATGCATAGAATATATTATTCATGAGTATGTATATTTGTGTAGCAAATAGGATTACAGTCCCCAAAAATTGAGTAAGTTAGCTTGGTTACAGGGGCTTTCATTTTAACCTTCAGCAGTTGGCAATGTAGTGTAAAAATGGGAAATGTACCCGTTATCCTTATACCAGAAGATAACTGCACCTCATTTCCTTATGTTTTAAAATACTCTTTTAAAATTTATGATTGCTTTAACAATCTTGGTATTTCTTCATTACTTCGGTCAGATGAAGATCAAAAACAATACTCCTACTTCTGCACACTCTTTTAATAATCCAGACGGCTGCTCATGTGTGAAAATTAAGCACACTTTTTTACTTGTCATCCTATTGTATAAAGATTTATAAATTCAATTAGACAACTGAATTACACAAGAAGAAGAAATGCTTAGGAGTTTGTCAATACATGAGTAGTCCAAGCCAAGGTGCAAAATTGCTTTTATAGGGAAGGATGATAAACTCCCCCCTTATTATTGGACCAATAAATTATATTTACAAGCATTAATAACTTAATGCATGTTTCTAAACATGGTATAGCTGTCTTATTGGTTTTTAATTCAAATTTTTAAATGGAAGAAGATTGCACAATACACAGGGACTCTTTTCTTATCTAATCTGAAATGCACTGGCAATAGTTTTCTAGAAATTCTCCAATTTGTGATCAAAGCTGCTTATTCCTGGTAGACAGGCGTATTTCTTGGATTGAATGATAGTCCATCACAGTGCACACTTATGGACAAATCAGAGATGATCAATTAAACTCGCCAGCACCTCCTTGGGAGGCAGAAACTACAGTACTACTGCCTCTTACATCTTTTGTTTCAGAATTGTAGCACTGCACTCCTCAATTCCCTGTGTACAGCGAGACTAGTACTATTCCTCTTAGTCTTTACACTTTCCTGTAGTCAGTGGGCTGAAATACCTCCAAGGCGATACAAAGACTGGTCAGAAGAATGGGGTGACAGAAGTTACTGAATCAAGGAGTCCACTTTTTCACAGGAAGACACTGAGTGCCGCCAGTTTGTTTTTAAATAATGACAGAATTTTAATCTGCTGTTTGTCAAATGAAAAAAAATTATCTGCTCTTAGAACGTGGTGTGGACTATGAAAAGGTCAAATGTGTTTAAACATGCTGAACTATAACATCTTATGGGGATAGAGCTTTTTCACTACACTGTATCGTGAACTTTACATAATAAGCATGGGCATCATTTACTATTTCTTTATCTCTTTGTCTTCAGAAGTTGTCTTCTAAAATTTTAGCTGCTAAAAAAAGGGTATTTTTTTCACGAACTTCACTATACAATCTACAGTCGCTCATGTCACAGCAGCATGTGAGTTCAGCTGATGCTCAGGTAAGTGAAAATGCAGGTGGTACAAATGAAATCAGGCCTGATTTATTTATTTGCACATTTTTTTGTTTGGAATGTTTTCTAAACACAACAATCTTAGTTAATATCACCTGATATTAAACAGTACATATAGTATACACCTTCAATTATCTACTGTTTGCTTTTTAACTTTAGAAGTTTATATTGTTGGGATTATATTGAATCTTGCAATACCACATTGTTCACTCCTTTAGATGAAATCACCCATAGTTACAAAAATGTTATTTTATTGTTATTATTATGTTATTAAAAAGCTGTTTCTCACATACAGTACGATGTTAGAAGGAGTTAGCTGGCACCGGCAACTACATAAGGAATATTGCAGATTTTCGAAGAACTCTCCATTTCATTTCTTTCCTGTTCTTTTTCCTTCCTGAAAACACATGCTGAGTAAATTTTGGACATCATAAAAATATTATGTAGATCAAGTTTAACTACTTTCAGCTGAAAGCAATGTATATAAAACCAACTGCAGTCATATTACTTAAACAAGTCTGATTTCACAATTTCCTTTATTGGAAAATGAGGTAATTATATTAGAAAATGAGTTTTTTTTATTGAACATTCTGTTCAAAAAGTACAGTGATTTTTAAAAAACAAACATTACGCAATTATATAAAGCAGTTGCTGTAGGTTGGTACAGAGTATTGTCTGTAGCATTCTAGTTTGGCTTTGGATAATTTTGGATACATCCAGAAATGGTCATGGTGTAATTTAGTACCAATGGCTCATTCTTTTCACACATTGTATTACGTGGGTTTGTGCTCACTTGGGAAGAGTTAAGTACAAACAGACGGTTTCAGACTGCATGGGGTATATTACAGCAGTGTAAAACTACTCTGTCTCATGTTACTTTGTACTTTTCTCATGTTTAAAATTCTCTGTGGATATCATAACTAGTACATTACCATGTGATAATCTACTTAGATCCCTTGAATTTTATATTCACTATTGCAGAGGAAATAGGTAACAAGAATTTTGTATTTCACTTACTGTAGCATTACTGTACAGGCATTGCTCAGGATGGGTCTACGTTTATTTTACTTAGAAAAATTTGTTTCATTCATTTCATGGAATGCCTGCCATGCTTCTTTTGTGTTTGAAAGCCTTAACATAGACTTTAAGTGTCAATATACTTAAGCGTGTGTATATGAAAAGTTTAATTATTTTCAAATTAACAGCAATAATTAAGTGCTGTTTAAGACATCTGTAACCCTAATACAGATCAATCATAATCACCATCACTCGGAATAAGGGGGAACACTTCACGAATTAAACATTGCTGATGCATTAGTTTATGCAGTTACCTTATATAAGGAAATATTAAGAAAATCATGTAAACTGAAAACTGCTTTTGTATCAAGCTCATTAGGTTTGGAATGCTCTAGACCTTAAATCATGCAGCAATTAACCTTAGGACAAATACATCTGACAACTGTGAAAGAAGTTAGAGTGCTCTGTTTAGCTTGGCTCATTGGATATGTTATAGTTCAGAAGCAATTTCAAGCCTGATGCATTTAAGTGTTTTTAGTTTTTTTTAATTAACAATTAGATGAGGTTTCAAATTACAAACGTCTTGAATTCCACAGCTCTGTAGTGCTTAGCTGTACTGTAAAACTGCCAAGCAGCCTCCATATAAAACAGCTTCACCACCAGCATTTGTGGCTTCAATATCTAATGCAAAGCTAAATTAAAAACAGAAACAGCAGGGGGGCATTTAAAAGTAGTTAAGATTGAAAGGGCTGTGGAAACATATTTTATTTTATTTACATTCACATATTTAAGTTGACAAAAATAAGTAGAATACTCACTCTACTGTAAGATATCCTTATGAACATATTAAACTTCAGAGGCTTAAAAATATTTTTTTGTCAATTTATTAGGAGCTGACTTTCAGCAAGGTTAATGCAAAAAAGGAGTTGGAAAGCCATGACTGCAGTACAATATCCGGTCCCACCATGGTCCAACTTTATTGCTCTAGAAGTTGGATAAATTAGTACTGTTGAAGCAAGGGATTTGTATAGATACAACAGATGGATCAGTTTTATATATCCCTTAGGACGCTGAGTCAAAAATATCTCAGTGGATGTGAGTTTTAGTTGTACATATTGTCCTGAAAAGAAACAGTTCAACACCATCTCTGCAGTGATTATATAGCTGCACACGTTCCACTTTATGCTGTATTACTTATCATCACAAGTTAGCTTTTGACAATAATAACAACAATAAAGTAATTTAGCACAAGTTCTCCTCGAAAATGATTTAGACTAATAGGAAGTACAAGCAACAGCAGAGGAGTCTCTTACAGCACTTGGATGTGTGACGCATCAAAAGGACAGAACAAAAGCTGTTCAGAGAGCCAGTGGCACAGCCAAGTTGAATGAGAAACCTCCTACTACCAATAATGTTTAACTGCTGAACCAACTAGTCAGCAAGCGTATTTTCTTGTGGAGCTGTCTCTTGTTTTAGCATCTGACTCTTTTAGAAATTAAATAACTTTTGCCTATTCCATTAGTTAAAATAACTGTTGCACATGATTATATGTAAGGCTTTCTTTAATAATCCTACAGTACACATCATAGATATAGTTTATCTTTGAATATGTGGATGTCTAATGTATTGTAAACATTTTAATACTTACAGTAGACTTCTTTGATCACCCCTTCTGTGACTGTTCCTTCACTCCTGTACAGTAGATATTTTTACTGTACTGGCTTAAGTTTAAAGAAGAAACTATATGATAATATTAAGTATTAAGTACTTAAAATGATCTATAGTTAAAATGAGGGTTAAGTATCTCTCTTAACCAAGTGTTCTCAGACACATTTTACAAATACAAAATGCATCACTGTCTCCCAAGTGCTGAACCCTAATACAGCTGCTAGGGGTAATTATGGTAATTTAGCAGTAATTGCTTTGACAATGGTAGCAATCAGATGACAACGATGCCTGATCAGTATCAAGTCATAAGAGCTTTGAAATTATTGGTAATGAAACACATTGCAGCTAGTGAAAAAATGCAGAAGTCACAAATAATAGATGGACTTTGAAATCTGATAGTTTTCCCAAATATTATAATTCAGAAGTTTGGTTAAATCCAAATGGATGGCTCATGCCTCTTCCTTTACAGATGGGACATCATTCTCAGCCAAAAAAGTTACCCTAATAAAGTTCTCTATTCCAATAAGACACCTTCTCCATTCAGTATTAACTAAATTTTAATTAGGGTTTCACAGAACCACTGAATTGAGAATTCATTCTCATTTGACGTATCTGGGTAAATAAAGGAATCAAACTTATTTTAATTTTTATTACATACAGTATCTCTCATA